CGTCGGTCACTACTTTTCTAAAACCTCTTTAAAACAAAAGTATGTAATCTTAAAATATTGTTTTAAACTTGGTTCTAAATTTTGTTATGACGAAAGAAACTATCTTGTTGTTAGTAAGTATTGTTTTAGTAGAGGGTTTTTAAACTATAGTGAATAACAACAACAAAATTTCATAATTTTTAATTAATTTAATTATTTTAGCTAACACTACAGTTGTTTTGTGTATACCTATAATCAGTGATCATTTTGAAAATATGTATTTCTTATATTTAATTATACGTAATTATTTGCGAAAACTGACAGACTTATCAACACCGCATTATCAAATCTCAGAATGGTTACAGGCTCCTCGGGAAGGTATGCAGATCTGAGGTCAATTATTGCTTAGTCTGATGAAGTGATAAACAATAATCCAGTCAAGGCGTAAGGAGGGGTTTTAAAAATACCTCGAGTTAAGAAAGAGTAAAAGTGCTCAAGTGCACTGGCTCAAATAGAAATAAATAAATATACGTAAATAGTTTTTTGAGACTACTAGTACTAAGGAAATTAATATTTTTTGAGCAGATCAAAAGCCGGATCTGAAATTATATATATACATTTTTTTACATAAAATCTAAACCAAAAATTTCGTATCCTAACCTTCGAAGACACATAACCGCGGTAAGAATTTAAGTAGCTAAAGCGACCTCCCGAATAAATCGAATGACTATATTTATACATACTTTATACTAATATGTATTACAGTATTATATGTATGTTATTACATATACCTAAGACTAATACACAATCTCGCATTCTCAAAGGTCATTTCTAACTAGAGATTAACTTAAATTAAATATTTTTTAATAGCAGCAAAATTCTTTCAAAATCGCATATATTTAAAATATAAATTTTAATTTTTGATAATTATATAAATTTTATTAAAAGTTGATGGACAATAACTATCAAAAGATTTCTATTTTGAAAAGTATTAAACATCATTGGTCCTTGCAAATAGCTAATGGTCTGCAAATAGCTAATGGTTAATTGTCTATATAAAATAGTTGGACTGTATGAGGCAGGAATTCAAACCCTGACAAATGTAAATCATGGACTGGCGCCTGAACACTCGAAGTGCACACAAACTTAATTTGCGTTTTTCAAATTTATATTTTTATCAATTTTTCTTGTTTAAACGTAAAAATTTTAGAGTCGACACATAAATAGCATATTTATAAATATGTTTAAATAACATAAATTCCTGTTTTTTTTCAAATTTATTTTGATTTTAATTCTTATAAATTATTCAATACGTTTACCGTCTTCGTTTGTTTTTTTTCAATTTTTTTTATTTGTTAATAATAAACTAACTGCTGTATCTTTATATTGAATAAGCAGTCTTACTCTGAACTTGCTTTTATATTAAAAATAGATTATTATTTTTAATAATTTTATTACTTTTAGCTTCACAATATGGTTGGAAACCTAATGATCCAGTGCCTCAAGCCTCTACAAGCAGTGGACCTGCCCCACCGTACATCGATCCAGAAGACTTACAGCCAAAAAATTTCGCTTTCACTGATGAGAGTATACGTAAAGGATTTTTACGTAAAGTCTATCTCATACTTATGGTTTGAATGCAATTAAATACTTTTAAATATAATTTTAATCTAATAAACTGTTTTTTTTTATAGGCTCAACTAACTTTTACATTTGGTGTGGTAGCATTATTCGTTTTTCATGAACCAACTAAGCAATTTGCGCAACGTAATCCCACTATACTATTAATTGCTTGTATTACTACTCTGGTAGTGGTCATAGCTATGGCTTGTTGTGAAAATGCGCGTCGCTCATTCCCTACGAACTTTATATGTCTGGGCATATTTACGGCTGCAGAATCATTTCTAGTTGGATCTGTTGCTAGCGTTTATGATTCCCAAGAGGTGAGTTTACTTTATTGTATATATTTAGATATTATTTATTTATTTATAAATATATTTATATTTATTTATACATATTTACAATGATTGTAGCTTAAAAAGTTTAGTTATATTTGATAAATCAGATCTGTTAATGAACAGAACATGAGAATGGATGTTAGGTGAGATACCCTTTCCGATTAAAAGCTATATATTTTTAAATGTTGATTATACATTATAAAAAATTTTATTTAAGAGAGGACATTTAACTATAACAGAAAGGTCTTTTATAATAACTCATTTTAATATAGATGTAGTTTTATATTAAATCATCAGTAATGCAATTTTTTGTAACATTTCGTAACATAGTGATGTTCATTTAAGAAGCAAACACAACCTTAATAATAAAATATTAACGGGACTATTAAAGTTATTTAGTTTATCAGACAACTTTTCAGTCGGTACCTTTTTCAATTTTTTTTTTGTTAATATAGTATCTGGAGAAACCACTGACGATATTGTTAGTGTTAAAGAACATTTCTTAATATGTCTGTGGTATTACACATTGTCGTCTTAGCGATATTAATTAATAATTTAATATTCTAAATATATAAATATTCTATTAATATTCTAAAATTAATTAGAAAATATTCTATAAGGACGGGTATCACGTTCTTGTAGAATACATAGAATATTTTTCCAGTCCGCAATATTTTGGGTTGAGAACCATTAATGTTTTGTTTTATTTTTTTTTACCAAAAATTAAAGATATTTAAGCGACTTTGAATATTTTTACATTCGGTTTCATAACAATATTTTAACATTATACCAGCAGATTCTAACACAATAAGAGGTAGTGTTAAGTGGTAAGAGTAATCTCCTTACCGATACTGTATTAATCTCATATTCTCAATACAATATTATATTATACTGATTAGAATAGATAAATATTTGTTTGGAATAAATTTATGATTATTTTGATTATATATTTGTACATATTTCTCAGATTATCATAAACCTGCACAATTTTTGAAAGACTTAAAAAATAAATTATTTATTGTATGATACATTCATGCGGCTTACCATGGCTAAGTATTATACTTTTCCATTAATTTTGAAGTACAGCAGTAGTCTGTATATTACACATTATTATCTTAATTTAGTGTTTTAAAAACTACTTATCTATATTTATAGAACAAAAACGTAGTATGAAAATAGTTAATTACTGATATTCATTAAGCTTTCCCCACATCACGGCTTACAATAAAAAAAAAAAATACTAATAATACTAATATTAAAAATTTATTATTATATTACTCTATTCTATCATTTTTTGTTTTTTGTATTGTTATTAAATTAATCGTTAGGTAAGGAAAATATGGAATGTAATTATTATCTTACAGGTAATATTTTTTGTTATTGCAACTTTAATTGCAATTAATATTCCTAAGAAAACAAAGTACATATAGCATTCATTTTTATAAAAGTTCAAAGACAGCAAAAAATAGTTTCAACTTTGCTAGAAATTCAAAATTAAAAAAAAAATTGCAAGATTAATTGTAATGATCTTTGAATATCACTCTACACTGCAGTTATATATGCAAATTGCGCTGAATCCAGTTCTCAGTTAATATGCGATTTGCAGCAATAGCCCCACCATATATTTTAAGCGGGGATTTACAATGTAATAATGCAATTATTACGTGTTAGTCATAAAAAAATTTCATATTACAACAAAATGACATACCATGGGATAGTAAACAATAGATGACATTGAAAACAATATACTAAACTACAATATTCAATTAATTAAAATAATTAAGATAATAAATAAATAAATAAATAAATATATTATTATATTAAATATTCAATATTTAAAACCTTCTTTAGTATATTATTTTTGTAATATATATTTTATATGTATTTTTATATCTTTCAGGTGCTTATGGCTATTGGAATTACTGCTGTCCTATGTTTAGGTCTAACAATTTTTGCCATGCAAACAAAGTACGACTTCACCGCTTGCGGTGGTTTCCTATTAGCTGCCTTACTTTGTCTTATGATCTTTGGATTTGTGGCCATCTTTTGGCGTAGCCATCTCGTCAGTACCATATATGCCAGCTGTGGTGCTCTCTTAGCTTGCATATTCCTTATATATGATACGCAAATAATGATGGGTGGCAAACACAAATATAGTGTCAGCCCTGAAGAATATATATTTGCTGCTTTGAATTTATACATGGACGTTGTAAGAATCTTTTTGTATGTTTTACAATTGATTGGTAATAAAAAATAAGTACAAGTACTAGTCCAAACTAAAAACAGTAAATAATGAAATTATGCAAAATTTTTGAATTTATATACATTTTTATATATATTTTTGCTTAAGTGTTTAAACTAAAATATTGTTTATATTCGAATAATAGAATTTTTTGAAATTATTTATTTTTCATTATATTCTATATGCATATTGTGTAAAATGTCAAAAGTCGAATACCGTATTGTGTATGTATACGTTTTACTTAAAAAAAAAATGACGTATGTATGTATTATGTTTATATAACTGTAAGGTCTTTAATGTTACTAATAAAAAGGAATTTAATGTGAATGTATGTAATGAGTTTGAAATTATTTATGAAAGTTTATAGTTTATAAGAGCAGTAATTAGCATTAACTTATATGTCGTTCACACTATAAACTTAAGGATTCTAATGAAATAAGCTCTTAGTGTGCATTAAACTAATCTTAGAGTAACTGCAATCAGTAATTTGAGTAGTTTATGTGTATAATGAGAGGCACCTTAAGTAATTTGGGCAATGATGCAAGAATATTTGTAATAATCCTACTATAATACATAAGAGAAGAAAGACGAAACACAAAAATTTTTGAGTAAAACCGTAAATGAAATGTTACTTCCTTTCCTGCACCTGAAAATTGGAAGTAACAACAAATGTATTCTAAAGTAATTTGAGTTTCCTACGAGTAGTGCAGCGCATTGATAATTTAAAACTGATGCGCATTCCTAACCCTTCGTTTAACTACAGCAATATCCATTAAAGATTAGGTTTAAGATATTTAGTGATTATCTATAGTAGAATCATCTGTTATTAAACATAAAACAAAATATACGAATGAAATGGGTTTAAGACAACTAGACCAAGGAGATTTTATAAGAAGTCACTTTTTGCAAATATGTTCTCTCTCTCACACTTCATTCTTTTACAATCGTTAAACCTCTCAAAACAAAAGTATACATCATAGCTAACTAATATGCGACTAAAATTGTTCAGAGTTTTTTTTGAAGTTAGTTACTATACAGGTTATTAGGAAAAATAACAACTTATTTATTGTTATTTACTAATTGATCCACCAGTATTCTCGTCTAATATCTCATATCTGTGACCGAAACAATATTATGTAGTTAGGTATGTAGTTAGGTTAGGTTATGTTATACCGGCGATTCACTTAGGCCTATTGGGTCATTGTGTAACCGTAGCTGTTTTAAAAAAAGTAATATTTAATACAATTGTCATATAAGAAAATAATTTCAACCGAATTTTAGATGATTATAATTATAAATAAAATATAATATTAAATTAAATTATAATAATTTTTAGTTGTGAAACTAGTTTAAAATTAATATAATTTCTAGAAAAAATATGTGAGGAATTCATATGTAAGACAACATATATATCAAGATAAGATATGTTTAAATAAAAAGTAATAATCTAAATATAAAACAATTATATTTTTTGTAGTCATATTATTGTTATGAATTTTTAAATACAGTGAGTTAGGAAATAATATCAGTGATATCTCCAACTGAACTTTAAAGCTTTATAACGGTTAGTTATATCCGTACATTTTTTTGTTGAACAGATAAAAAAATTAACTTATTGGTGGAGCATCGTGATAAAAATAGAACCAAAGTTAATAGATGAATAGATGAAAGGATATTGTGAAAAAATTATTACATTTTACAATCTTAATATATAAAAGAATCAATGATTGAGTACTAAATACTTTATTCATAAAAACTCAATCGATAAACCGATAGTAAATATTTGCCTGCTTATGTTTTTGAGTGATGTTCTTAGCAATAAAATGGTTGATAAGTTCAAGAAGTAGGATATGTGAGCACCCTCAACCTCGTTACAGAACTAAAGACAAATTACAATAATACTTTAGTGACATAGTTTGGGTACCTAGAGAAATATCCAAAAAAAAACCTTTAATGGATCAAATTTCCATCTATAAATCGGCGTTCAAACGATATACAATGGAACCATTTTTAAAAAACCTTCGATGGATCAAATTTCCTTTAAATCGGCGTGTAAAGGAAATAAAATCGAACCATTTTTTAAACCCATATTGTACGAAAACGGAATTGTCAAAAAATATGAAACTCAAACTACAGTAATAGGATACATATAGTCCTACAGTGATAGGACTATAAAATCATCACTTATTATTACTGCCTAATTCCAATAGCAAGTGTCAGTAAGTATTTGAAAATTAAGCAACAGAATAGATTAAGAGAGAATGTTTATAAAAACGTTAGGATACATATATCTTTAATAACCCGGTAGAAGCTGATAGACCTTGGTACACAGTTTTAGTGTATGTATGATTATTTCATAGGTACATAATAGACGAAAGATGATAGAATATTGCAATATTTGATTACTATGCTATTGATTTCGGATAATATATGTGCAAAACTTCATGCCACAAAAAATTAAAAACATTGCTCTAATTTTAAAAGATAAAAGCCTGCCTTTACCCTTTTCTAAAGTAAAGGGTTTAACTGAAAAATTAAAGAAAGCGACAAAAAAAAAATGGATTTATAAATTTGTTATTGAAAATATAATACAAATAATTTCTTTTATTTTTGCAGTATTTTTTAAGTGTTAGTATTTAATGTACAGTTAAAAATAAATTTAGATAGTAAAGATTATATATTGAATGACATTCAGAGTTGCATTAGTCAGTAGAAGGTTAAGAAAAATTTTTGGGACTGCTTTTCTAACAGAGTGATCATCTTTTAATATTAGCAACATAGCTAAGTTAAATGGGGGGTCATGCCTTTTTCAAGTTTGTTCGTTGACCATTTCGGTCTTCATACCGTTTTTGCTTATTCTCTTGGTCTGGCCTATGAATATCATATATCCGTGGTATGATAACTGTCACATATTTATGTTCTAGTGGGGTTTGGGCACCACTAATCTAATCTATTGAATAAATAATAATAATCAATAATAACAATAAAAGTGATATTAACTGAAGCGGTAAGAGTATCAGTGAAAACTTGCAGTAAGTTAGAGATAAAAAAATCCTTAATACCATTAACTAATGTATTTATCTCAGATAATAAAAATGTCTTCGTATATATTTTAATGTAAGTAACATAATCATATGAATCCGCCCCTGTAAATAATTGTAAACTGCTTCTATAAATTTGGAGAAACAGTTAAATGACATGATCAACTCATCGCCCTTTAAATTGTTGGTATTTGTTTACTCCAAATTTATAGAAACAGTAAAGTGGCGTGGATCATCTTGTAAAACGCATGTATTTTTAATAATAATTTTGCATAATAAATTCTTCTTGTTTTAACAATTGAGTTGAGAAGTTGTATAATTTTATAAACAAAATTACTTGTATAATAATAACATAAAATAATAAATTACGAAGTAAACCCCTCACTTTATTCAGTTAGTTGAGTTAGTGCTAAAAGTGCTTGCTAAATGCACTAATAAAGTAAACAGTAAAAACAGTAAAAAGTGTTTAGTAAATTTCATTGAAAAAACGCATCTAAAATATAAAATAAATATATATATAAGATATTTCACAAATTATTTCTAAAGATTAAGTGTGTACGCGTTTGCATAAACATATTTTTAAAGATGAAAAGCACAAGGAAAAATAGTGCTCTTATAAATGGTGAGAAATGAAAAACAGTTTCACGAAAAACTTGTCCTAGCCTCCATTTTTAATGTTAAAATTGTTATATAAATAAAATTTAATCCTTGTTGTCAAGAGCATCAAATATTCGATTTTTTTTAAAAAAAAAAGTGAGGAGTCTCATTCATTCTTCCATTTTGTTTTCTATGTAAATACAGTGCTGAAAATGGTTTCAACAAGTTGTAGTTGGGGCTTACTTATATCAAAACTAAATTTTATTATCTTTCTTTGTCAGATTGCGTACAAGTGACGCAATAACCTTACATACCCTGTCTATATAATTTGGCGCATGTGTCATTGAATGTCGCCAAGGAGTCTGAAAAGCGCAAATAGCGTTTTGGCAGTAGATTTTCCCAATGGTATCATCATCACTTCATTTTAGTCAGTTTATCTCAAGTAGATACAGCTTTGATAGTTGTAAGAACATTGTTGAAATCTTATTAGTGAAATTTAATAAGATTAATAGTTTAAATTAATTTATTTAAAATGATTGGCTCAAAAGAAGAAGTGAATTATTTTGTGAATGGTGGTGTGCAAATGCAAACTGTGCCTAACGTAATGCTGGATGAGACAAATTTAATTACCGGAGGAGTGCAAATACAGGAAGGGGGTAAAACTATATAGCATAATCAGGGCTTCGAATCGCAAAATTTTTTTGCTGTGGTTTTTGTTCCAATATAAAATATATATCGGTTCGCTTGCAATTAGTGTTCCGCCAAAAATATCGGTTTGTTTGGTTCAGTTCCTAGTGAATATTTTTTTTACGTATTACAAATCAGTTTTTTTTTAACATGATTAAAAAATATTGTATACATTCTATTAAAAAAGCATAATTAATTAGTTGAATTAAAAAAATAAAAAAAAATTGAAAAAAATTAAAAATAAAAAAAAGTAAAAAAAAATTAAAAAAAAAAAATTTGAAAAATTAAAAAAAAAAAAATTTAAAATAGAAAAAAACACAAGATTTAAAAAATTAAAAAAAGGAAAATTAAACAAGATTTAAAAAAATTAAATAAGAATATACAAAAAGACTTTTATAAATCAAAATTTGATTCTTTCAACTATTAAATGAAAGGGGTTGATTAAATACCGTACTCCCCCCTCTGTGCTGAACTAAAATAAACCGATATGTATAAGTTCTGGTTCGACTCTGGTCGAATCAATAATAATATCATAATAGTTTTAAATTAATACTCTTATGTGCTTAACTTTATCATATCAGATACTGTGCCAAATGTACAAATTGATTTAGGAAAACCCATTACTAATGGAGAGCAGCAGTTTGATATACCGGATGAGTCTGTTAGACGTGCTTTTGTACGCAAAATATTTTTCATACTCTCGGTAAATTAATATATTATATCAAATAATAATTATATACT